CTCTGTCATTTTTAGTCTAGCAGGTGCCTAAGCTGCTCGGGCTCGGCCAGGTGAGGTCACTCATTGATGGTCACCGTGTTGGTCAGAGGTGGCATTGACTGGTCCAGAATCACCTCGGATCATAGACCTCCAGCTGGAAGGGCCCTAGAAGCCCCTGAGCCCAACCACAGCTGGGGAAACTGAGCCCCAGAGAGTCCAAAGGGCTCCAGGATGGGCTGAGAGGGTGAATCATTGGAGCCTTGAAGGAAGATGGATTTCGAAAGGTCCTTCAAGGAGGGAGGGCACCCCTTGGGAATGCAGGGGGAGGGATGCAGGCTGGGATGCTCGGCTCAGGCAAGAGTTGGACTGGAACCTGGAGTGTACAAAGGGGAGCCGTGGGAAATGCCCGCTGGGGGAGGGCCTTCAGTGCCACGGCAGGGGGATGAGGGAGGATTTATTTGTATTTTCTCCTAGAAATAATGGGCAGTGGCTGGACATGCTTGAGCAGGGGAGGGGCCTGATCAGAGTGGAGATCATCCTGGCCTCAGTTTCCTCATCTGTCCCATCAGGGGCTCCCCTTGTGCTCCAAGCTCTGAGCTGAGAGGCCACAGAGGCCAGGGCCCTGTCCGTGCCACCCCAGGCTCCGGAAAGTTCTCCAGGCGTTCCCAATTCAGCCGTACCCTCAGGCTCACGAAGCTCCACCTCCCTGACAATTGCCTGAGGCCAGGACTGCCTAGGCCATCACCCCTATTTACAGGGGAGGGCCCTGTGGTTCAGAGAGATGGGAAGGCTTAGCCAGGATCTGGCACGCAATAAACACTCAATAAATGCTTGTTGACTGACTGACTGAGTGACTGCCTGCCTGCCAAACCAGCTGCTTCAGAAGGATGAGTGGAGCTTGGGTGTTGCTCCAAGGGAGGCACGCAGCCACGGGGCCGTGCTCGGAGCATCTGGGCTCCCGTCTCCTCCTCTGAGCTGCACAGCTTCTGGTGTATGTTTGGCTCCTGAGCTTTGCTTCTGTTAGCAAGGCTGTCTTTCCC